AGTTGTTGTCGTCGCCTTTGGACTGTGTCCAGGAGGGGGAGGAAGAGGAGGAGGAGGAGGAGGAGGAGGAGGAGGAGGAGGAGGAGGAGGAGGAGGAGGAGGAGGAGGAGGCGGAAAGAGGAGGAGGATGAGGAGGAGGAGGAGGAGGAGGCGAGGAGGCGGCGGCGCGGCGGCGGCGGCGGAGGAGGAGGAGGAGGAGGAGGAGGAGGAGGAGGAGGAGCAGGAGCAGGAGGGGGGGAGAAGGAGAAGGAGGAGGAGGAGGAGGAGGAGGCGGCCGAGGAGGAGGAGGAGGAGGAGGAGGAGGAAAAAGAATACTAATAATAATAATAATAATAATAATGGTAATAATAATAGTAATAATAGTAATAATAATAATAATCATACTAATATTGGTAATAATAATAATACTACTAATAATAATGATGATAATGATAATGATAATTATAATAATAATAATCATAATAATAATAATAATAATAATAATAATAATGATAATGATAATAATAATGATAATAATAATAATACAACTAATAATAATAATTATAATAATAATAATACTAATAATAATACTACTACTAATAATAATTATAACAATGATAATAAAAAATAATATTAATAATAAATAATAATAATAATACTAATACTAATAATAATAATCATAATAATAATAATAATAATAATAATACTAATAATGATAATAATCATCATCATACTACTAATACAAAGACTAGTACGACTACTAATAATAGTAAGAAGAAAACGGAAACGAAAAGGAGGAGGATGAGGAGGAGGAGGAAGAGGAGGAGGAGGAGGAGGAGGAGGAGGTGGAGGAGGAGGAGGAGGGGAGGAGGAAGAAGGAGGAGGAGGAGGAGGAGGAGGAATGCCGAGGCGAGGGAGCGAGGGAGAGTAGGAGGAGGAGAAGGAGTGGAGGAGGAGGAGAGGAAGAGGAGGAGGAGGGAGGGGAGAAAGGAGGAGGAGGAGAGGAGGAGGAGGAGGAGGAGAGATAAAAAGAAAAAGGGACGGAGGAGGAGGAGGAGGAGGAGGAGGAGGAGGAGGAGGAGGAGGAGGAGGAGGAGGAGGAGGAGGAGGAGGAGGATGGAGAGAGAGGAGGAGGAGGAGGAGGAGGAGGAGGAGGAGGAGGAGGAGGAGGAGGAGGAGGAGGAGAGGAGGAGGGAGGAGGAGGGGAGGAGGAGAGGAGGAGGAGGAGGAGAGGAGGAGAGGAGGAGGAGGAGGAGGAGGAGGAGGGGGGAAGGGGGAAGGGGGAGGGGGAGGGAGGGGGAGGGGGAGGGAGGGGGACGGGAAGGGGACGGGGAACGGGAGGGGGAGGGGGAGGAGGAACAAACTAGGTGCGCTCGCGTCATATCTGACGTTCTACCCCTCCCTCCCATCCCTTACCATGGCGCTGATTTTCTCTATCCGCGGACGCGTGTCGTAGCGGACCTGTGGCTCCGCGCGCGTGCGTAGTGGTGGTGGTGCGCGTGCGTGCGTGCGTGCGTGCGTGTGTGCGTGGTGGTGGTGGTGGTGGTGGTGGTGGTGGTGGTGGTGGTGGTGGTGGTGTGGTGGTGGTGGTGGTGGTGGTGGTGGTGGTGGTGGTGGTGGTGGTGGTGGTGGTGGTTGTGTGTGTGTGTGTGCGTGCGTGTGTGCGCGTGTGCGCTGGCATGGCACGGGAGATGACGCCAGCGCTGCAGCGGGAGCACGAGTCGAAACGAGCGGAAGCGCGGAAATGAGGCCAGCGCTGCAGCGGGAGCACGATTCGGAACGAGCGGAAGCACGGAAATGAGGCCAGCGCTGCAGCGGGAGCACGATTCGGAACGAGCGGGGCCCGAAAACGAGGCCGGCGCCTCAGCGAGAGCAGCATTTTGAAAAAAATGCAGGCGAAAACCCAACTCCCGGGAATCCTGTGTTTAAAAAAGCAGGACGCGGGGGGGGGGCGAACATTCCCAGCACGTCATCAGGGGAAGAGGGAGAGTAGTATTCATATTGAGCAATTGTGGAGGAGGAGGAGGAGGAGGAGGAGGAGGAGGAGGAGGCGGAGTAGGAGGAGGAGGAGGAGGAGGAGGAGGAGGAGGAGGAGGAGGAGGACGACGACGAGGTCTTGGGGGCATCTTGAGCCGTCTTCGAGCGTTCCTGGCCCGTCTGACTCTGTGGGAAGCCGTCGTGGATGCCTCTCTGAACCGACGTGGGGCCCTCTTGGGGCGCTTCGTGGCCGTCTTGGATGCCACCTTGGGCGTCGTGGACGCCACCCTGGGCGTCTTGGAGGCCTCGTGGGTCGTCTTCAGGCCCTCTTGGGACTGTCTTCGGTGCCTCTGGGGCCGTCTTCGGGGCCTCCTGGCGGCGTTGTGGGCCATCTTGGGGCGCCCCTTGGGACGTCTTGGCCCGTCGGATGACCGAAACGAAGCAGAGGGACACATCCTTCAACAGCCTAGGAGGAAATCAATGGTTTGGTTTCTTCGGGCCCTACTGGAGGACCTCTTGGAGGCCTCTTGGGCTGCCTTGAAGGCCTTTGGGGGGCCTCTGGGGCAGCCTTTGGGCTGTATTAGAGACTTCTCGGGCGGTCTTGCAGACATCTTGGACCCTCTTAGGGCCGGCCAGGAGGCCATCTTGACGCAACTTGGCCCGTCTTGGATGCCATTTCGGGCGTTCTGGGGCCTCCTTTGGCCGTTTTGGGGCTCTCTTGAGGCCGTCTTGAGGCTTCTTGGGCCGTCACGGGTCATTTTGGAAGGAAGACGAGGAGAAGGAGTAGGAGGAGGAGGAGGAGGAGGAGGAGGAGGAGGAAGAGGAGGAGGTGGAAGAGGATGAGGAGCATGGGGGGGAGGAGGAGAAGGAGGAGGATGATGAGGAGGAGGAGGAGGAGGACCAGTGTAAACCCAAGAGGCATCGACGATGTTGGAATACACCCTCCCTCCAAGCTCCCTCTTCATAGGCCCCTACAGCGGCTCATTCTCATTTAGTGAACTGCCTTGTTGGAAGACAACCGTTTGAAGACCCTGAAGCATACCAAACCATTGCTCTCGGGATTCCAACGCCACGGATCAACCTGAGTGTTGCGTCTTGACGGTATTGAAGCGTGCCAGGACGCCAGTTTTGGGACTTCAGCACCGCGAATGTTCCACCATGTCTGGTACGCTGGTCATGGGAACCCGTGAAACTCTTGCACATCAAAGAAACCACGAATTTGCGCGGCGCAGAGGCGAGAGCCACATTTTGGACAGAAGCCGTCCTCAACCCGTGACATGCGTGCAACGGCTTAAACTTTTGAAACGAATGTGCGCGGCGTTGAGGCGAGAGCCACAGATTGACAACGGGCCGCCCTCGGCCCGTGACACTCTACATCTGTGTCGAACGAATGTGCGCGGCGCTGAGGCGAAAGTCGCATGTCGGAAACGAGCCGCCCCCAAATCCGTGAAGCTGTTGCCAATGCTCAAGCTTCAGGGTCGTACAGTGTCAGGAAGTCTCAGGCGAAACGCGTGGCCCGCCCTGGGAACTGGCCTCGGGGTGCGACAGGGAGATGTTCTGTACAAGGAGAAGGGATGGAGGAGGAGGAGGAGGAGGAGTAGGAGGAGGAGGAGGACGAGGGAGAGGAGGAGGAGGAGGAGGAGGAGGAGGAGGAGGAGGCGAGGAATAGGAGGAGGGTGAGAAGGAGGAGGAGGAGGCGGAGGAGGATCAGGAGGACGATACCACGAAGAATAATAATACGAAGCGGATGCGAGGAGGAGGAGGATGGTCATGCTGATGATGATGATGCTGATGTTGATGTTAATGATGATGATGGTGCTGATGATGGTGATGATGATGCTGATGATGATGACGATGACGATGCTGATGCTGCTGATGATGGTGATGATGATGTTGATGATGATGCTGATGTTAATGATGATGGTGATGATGGTGTTGATAGCGATGATGGTGATGCTGCGTATGGATATGCTGATGATGATGATGATTGTGTTGATGCTGCTGATGATGTTAATGATGAAATGATGGTGCGGCTGGTGATGATGGTGCTGATGATGCTGCTGATGATGATGCTGTTGATGATGATGATGCTGATGATGATGATGCTGCTGATGATGATGATGCTGATGATGCTGAATATGATTATGATGATGATGATGCTGATGATGCTGATGACGATGATGATGCTGATGCTGATGATGATGATGCTGATGATGATGCTGATGATGATGATGATGATGCTGATGATGATGCTGATGCTGATGCTGATGATGATGATGATGATGATGATGATGATGCTGATGATGATGATGATGATGATGATGCTGATGATGATATGATGATGATGATGATAATGAATGATGCTGATGATGCATGATGATGATGATGATGATGATGGATGATTGTGATGAATGATGATGATGATGATGCATGATGATGATGATGATGATGATGATGATGTGAGGAGGAGAGGAGAGGAGGAGGAGCAGGAGGAGGGGAGGAGGAGGAGGAGAGGCTTGGATAAGATGCAAGGAGGAGGAGGAGGAGGTGGAAGGATGAGGAAAGATGGAGCAGGAGGAGATGGCGTCCTAGGTGAGAGGAGGCGAGGCGAGGAGGATGATGAGGAGCAGGAGGATGGATTAGGAGGAGAGGAGGAGGAGGAGTAGGAGGAGCGGAGCGATGAGAGGAGGAGGAGGAGCAGGAGGAGGAAGAGGGGGGTGCAGAGGAGGAGGAGGAGGAGGCAGGAGGCGGAGAGAGGAGGAGGAGGAGGAGGAGGAGGAGGAGATGGATGTAGGAGGAGGAGCATGAGGAGGAGGATGATGAGCAGGAGGAGGAGAGGGGGGCGCGGAGGAGGAGGAGGAAGAGGAGAGGAGGAGAGGAGTAGTAGGCGGAGCTGGAGGTGCAGGAGGAGGAGGAGGAGGAGGAGGAGTAGAGGAGGAGGAGAAGGAGAGGTAGGGAGAGGAGGACGAGCAGCAGACGGGCGGAGAGGAGGAGAGAGGAGGAGGAGGAGGAGGAGGAGGAGGAAGACAGATTCTGCGGCGGAGGCGGCGATGACCGCCCGCTGGGGTTCCTGTTGCCCGCGGGGGGGCTGCTGCTCGCCGTGGTGGCTGCGTGCTTGGCCGCGCCCGCGGTTTTCGGGGCGCTCGCTCCCGAGGCGCACGCCGGGGGCCGCCGTCCGCTGCCGCCGTTGGTGTTGAGGAGGAGGAGGAGGAAGAGGAGTTGGAGGAGCAGGAGGAGGAGGAGCAGTTGGAGTAGGAAGGAGTATGAAGAGGATGACGCCGAGAAGGATGAGGAGAAGGAGGAGAAGGATGAGGAGGAGGAGGAGGAGGACAAGACGGATCTCAGTTTTCGGCTTCCTGGGGCCAGCGCTCGGCCTCGGGACCGTCAGAAGACGACTCACCATGAAGAATTGGCCCTGGGGAGCGGGTCGGGACTTCGGGGGACCCCACATTCAAGAAACCAGCACATCGGCTCTCGGGTCTCTGGGGATCGAGAAGGAGGAGGACCGAGGAGGAGGAGGAGGAGGAGAAGGAGGAGGAGGAGGAGGAGGAGGAGGAGGAGGAGGAGGAGGAGGAGGAGGAGAGGAGGAGGAGGATGAGAAGGAGAAGGATGAGGAGAAGGAGGAGGAGGATGAGGAGGAGGAGGAGGACAAGACGGATCTCAGTTTTCGGCTTCCTGGGGCCAGCGTTCGGCCTCGGGACCGTCAGAAGACGACTCACCATGAAGAATTGGCCCTGGGGAGCGGGTCGGGACTTCGGGGGACCCCACATTCAAGAAACCAGCACATCGGCTCTCGGGTCTCTGGGGATCGAGAAGGAGGAGGACCGAGGAGGAGGAGGAGGAGGAGGAGGAGGAGGAGGAGGGGGGGAGGACCACGAAGGGGGACGAGGACGAGGACGAAGGATTTGCGCCGGCGCTCGCAGCAGTAGGGGGGAGATCAGGGGCAGCGTTAGGTCGAGGTTCGAGGTATGTTGTGGGAGGTGTTCATGCGTTGTCGTCGGTTCCTGGCGGTTTTTCAGCCTTGGGGTGCCTCCAGCGGCTGCGCCTCGCCAAGAGCGTGCCAGGGGTGCCCGGATCGCTCCGAACAGCCGCCAGAGAGCCGAGTTATGGCCCGAAAGCCAAAAAGAGGGGGGATAGGCTCAGCTCAAAGGGGGGAGTATCGACCCCCATCGCTCCTCCATCGCCGACAGGGGCCCGATGGCCCACCCCGCCCTGGAGCGTGCGGATTCGATTCGCTACCGGGGGCACTGCGGCGAGGTGTTGCCGATTCCGCTCGACGGTTCCGCCCCTCAGCTGGCCCCCCTTCTCGAGAATCAGGAAGGAAAGAAACACACAGACACAATGAATCGCCGATTCCCAAGAAAATATGGGAAAATATGGGAAGTGGCGGGGAAGACGAAAACCCAGAAAATATGGGAAAATATAGGGAATATTTTTATTTGTGTGTATTTATTTGTGTGTCCCAGGGCCCCTTCAAGAAAGGGGGCTTGGAGGGCCGAGCGCACAAGGAGCGCGAGGGCCGATGAGTCTCCCCCTCGGCGTCGTCGTCTCGGAGAGGGAGGGTCGACCCTGAGACCCCGGCGTCGCAGCTGCCTTCTCGCCCCGAGCGCCTCGTCGCTCCGAGCTGCGATCGTCGAGGGGCCTGGAGTGCCCTCGCGACGCGAGGCTGGATCACGGCCAGGCTCGAGTCGGGCCTGTCCCTGTACGGGGGAATCTTCAAGAATAGTCAAACAAATAGTCTGGGGACGATCTCTTGACCATGTTTGATCATTGCTTGAATATGTTTTATTGTTGTTGCTGTTGTTGCTGTTGTTGTTGTTGCTGCTGTTGTTGTTGCTGTTGTTGTTGTTGTTGTTGCTGTGTTTGTTGTTGTTGGTGTTGTTGTTGTTGTTGTTGTTGTTGTTGTTGTTGTTGTTGTTGTTGGTGTTGTTGTTGTTGTTGTTGTTGTTGTTGTTGTTGTTGTTGTTGTTGTTGTTGTTGTTGTTGGTTGTTGTTTTTTGTATAGGTAAACATCGTTCAAAATCCGCACGTAGGGAGACAGGTCCAACTTAAGGCCAGGCGGCTTTTTGTTGGTAGTTTCGGCCTCCAGTGTCGGAGCTCGGTTGGGGGCCCGAGGTGCTCCTCCTCCTCCTCCTCCTCCTCCTCCCGTCCTCCTTCTCCTTGTCCCTCCTTCCTCCTCCTCCTCCTCTCCTCCTCCTCTTCTACTTCTTCTCCTCCTCCTCCTCCTTCTCCTCCTCCTCCTCATCCTTTTTCTCATTCTCCATCTCCGTATCCATCTCCTTTTCCTCCTCGCCCTCCTCCTCCTCCTCCTCATCCTCCTCCCTCCTCCCTCCTCCCTCCGATTGTTTTTTTACCAGCGATGGCGGAGCCCAGCAGCGGACGGCACGACGGACGAACGACGGCCGACACGACGAGACGACGGAGGGCGCGCCCCTCTCTCGACACGGTGCTTCTCTTGGCCCAGCCAGCGCAGACCCCCCCGGCCGCTTCCGGGGCCCTGGCAGACGGACAGACGCCGGGCGCCTGCAGGGCGCATCCGCACAGAAGTTCGCATTGCCTTTTGCGACGAGGGATCAAAAACCGGAGGGTTTGACATCGGATATGAGCGGAGATTCCAGCGATGTTTCACCGTTTTCGGCCTCTGGGGGCCCGCCGAGCGCTCCGGGACCACGGCGCAGTCCCATAGGGGGCACAGGGAGCCCTAAACCGCCCAGTCCAGCAGCCGTTTCGTCTGAGACCTCTTCGCACTTTCACCAAAGGAGTTATTCTATTATATATATATATATATACAAGACTGCAGTGGCGCTTCGCGCCATGCACCTTGGTCCTTGATGTTTGGCATGCAGGCGGAATAGCAGGACGGTCAAGCCGACAATTTAGCGATAACTCCTGGTTGCCTTTTCTGGCATCGCCGCTATAATAATGTTATTCGTTATCCTTCCTCCATGCTTCTTTGTCCTTTTTTTCGCCATGCCCTGCGCATTCTCCCCATCCTCCTCAGCTCTTTTTTGCGGAGGCTCCTCATTGGAGAGCCTCTAGGGGCCTCACAAAAGTTGTTTCAGGCTTTCTTAAGGCCTTCTGGAGACCTCCTGGGCGTATTCTGGGGGCCTCCGGGGGCTTTCTCGGGCCACCCTGCCTCCAACCGCGGTATCCCTGAACGACCGAATCATGATTTGGAATTCTTCGGAGGGTGTCTTTGGGCCATCTTGGGCCGCCATGGGGCTCTCTGAGGGCCATCTTGGACCCGTGTTGTGCCGTTTTGGGGCTCTATTGAACTGCCTGGAAGCCCTTTCGGATGGTTGTGGGGCGATTTGGGAGCTTCCCAGGCGGCTTCGGACGCCCAGAAGAGCGCCGTCTTGGAGCGTCGGGAAGCCGAAAAGAGGAGAACCCTAAAATTCACCAAAAACCCACAGAAAATCAATGATTTGTGCCTCGGGGGGCCTTCTTGGGAGTGCTATTGGAGGCACCTTTGGGGCCGTCCTGGAGGCCTCTTGGGCCATCTTGAGGTCACGTCGTCGGTCACTCTTGGAGCGCTCTTGTGCTGTCTTGGGGGTCTCTGGGACGTCTCCGATGACCCCCCTGATCGCCCTAGGTGTGCTGGGAAGGCTTGGCAAAACGCATGTGAGGCCCGGTGGCCGCTTCAAGGCCCGTCTGGAGGGTCCCAAAGCCCCAGATCCCGGGAGTCCGGTTTTGGGGGGGGATGGGTTTCCCCCCCGCCGGGGCTTATTTACACAAATATAGGAAGAGGAATATATATATATATATATAGATATATATGTTTGTATGTATGTATGTATGTATGTATGTATGTATGTATGTGTACATATATGAGTAGGCCGGGGGGGGGGGGGGGAAATCGGTGCCGGAGGCCCCCCCGAACCTTTGGAGGGTCACAGACCCCCCGGGACTGCCCCGGGCCGCTTCCAAATTGCCCACGACAGGCCACGCGGGCCGCACAGATGGTCACGAAAGCCTGAGGAGGCCCCGAAGATGCCCAAGAGCGCCCCAAGAGGGCCCTTGAGGGCCCCAAGAGGGCCTTGGGAGCGGTGAGCGGTCACGACCATGTGCGCGGATGCACTCTGGAAGAAAACCAAAGTCGCCCAGCCCAGTTTCGAACTCATCGTTCGGCGTCCACGGCGCTGCCGGGCTCTCGTCCGACGCCCCGGGCGTCGCGCCCAGGAGGTGGCAGCTGCCCATGGGAAAGTGGCCTTCGAACAGACGGGGCCCCAGGATTTTTCGCAGGCCCCTGCGCGCGCCCCCGAGGTGGCCCCCAAGGGTCGCGCCAATCCGCGGGGGTTGGAATTTGAAGAATGACGCGTTCTATCTCGTCAGGCTGGACGTGGGCCCCGAGTTCTTGGACGCCGTAGGTCGTGACTTCCCGAGAGTCTTCCAGGTCCTTGGGCTGAGCGCCCTGGTACCGAAGGTCAATGTGAAACGACTCGGCGAACTCCGGTTGGAGACCCCGACGGCGACCCCCGCCAGGCAGCATGAGGATAAGGGGCATGTCGAAGGTGGGCATAAGCGTGCTTTTCTGAATGGCGAAGGTCTGGAGCGCGGAGGTAGGCCCCGCGCGGCCCACGCACTGCGCGCGCGCCAGGCGCGCGCAGTGGCGTGGGAGATCGCTTCTCCCTTAACGCGATCACGAAGTACACGGTCACGAATCAGCGCCCACCATGCGCATCCACATTATCATGCTGACTCGCGGCCATCCATCGCATCGCGGCTGCGTCTCGATATGGCAGACGCATCGCACGCACGTCGACGGTCAAGTATCGGCTGTTTTTCCGCAGAAATTTGCATGACCAAACGTTGAGTGCACAGCTGGGTTCGCTGACCTTCCTTCTTTCCAGCAGCGCCAGGCGGCAGCGCGCCCTCCGCGGCCCCGACCTAATGCCGCGCGCGCGGCTGCAGGCGCCCCCCCGGGGCCAGCGAGGGCGACGGCGAGCCCGCGCGCGAGCGGGGGCGCAGAAGGGGCCGCGGGCCACGGGGGCGGCGGCGTCGTCGCGCGCGGCCGAGCCGCCAGGCGACGATTCGAGGATGAAGGGCCCAAAGACAATGGGCGCGAGCGAGCTCGACGGCGACCAGGTAGACCTGCGCACCGTGCAGAAGTAAGTACTTCCCATAGTGATGATGCTCATTCTCAACGTGGCGTCA